CCCCCCCGCCGTGAGCGGCCGCCCGCAGACCCGCCCTGCGCTGAGGGGACTGCGCGTGACACCTCGCCTAGCTCCGTTTGCGCGAGCTGATTGGCCCTGTCAGGAGCGAGCGACAGCTACTTGGACCAATGAGAGGAGAAGGCTGGTCACACACGCGAGAGCAGGGCGGGAGAGTTACTATGACAGGCAGGCATAAATGTCCGACAGAGAGTTCCCGCGCCTGGCTCTGCTCCTCTGTCTCTCCCGCCTCCCTCTGGTTCCCTGTCCTCTCGATCTGATTTCTGAATTTCCTTTCGTCTCTCTCCCCATCTGTGGTTCTGCCCTGTAATAGGTAACATACTGTGCTTTGTTCATTAAACCTGTATGGGAGGGTATGGACGATTTATGTATGGAAAATTTATGTATGGAAGATTTATGTGCTCGCAAGGCTTGATAGCTTAACCGAAGGACATTCGGCAAAATAAACAAGACCCGTAGCTGAGGGGAGTTGAGTCATCACATTTTTGCAAAAGTTCACCCACAGGGCAACGAGGAAGACCTTCAGCCTTCATCCTTACGACTACCAGGAGGCAGAGAAAGACCCCCTAGCAACACAATGCACAGGCGCAGGAAGCAGCAGAAGCATACGTGGTACAAGGAAGTAGAAGAGTATAAAAACCAAGGACTCCAGGGGGGAAGGCGGGAGCCGTTGGTGGAGCGAGGACTCCCCGGCCGCCCAGAGCTGTTTGCTTGCTATCGCTTGCTTGAATTTAATAAAACTTGAATTGGATTTTAGCTAACTCTGTCCAGTCAATTATTCGGATGAGCTAACACATAACAAATTTGGTGCCATGACTCGGATAAAGGCAACCCGGTGCAGACCCTACTCGGGGGAGGCGCCCTGCTGCAAAGCGGCCCCCCGCCTAGGGGTACTCACCAAGACCTTTACTGACAAACTCTAAAATTCGATAGCAAGCAAAGAAAAGCCGGCAACCCTGTAATCTTTGTGCACGAAAACCCGAACGAAGACGCAGGAGGGCGTAAGTATAGGCTGGTTACCCGTTCGGTTGGGGTTGGGAATCCTGAGGTGTGCTGTGGTGAGACGTCCGACTAAGGACGAAGTGAGTGCGGACTCCTTAATAGTGCGGTTCCCACATCCCGCGAGGGACTGGGCCACGAACAGGAGGCGCGTGT